CTCTGCTGCCAGGGCAGCTGGTGGGACCCTGCCCTCCCCCTGGAAGGTGGTGGCTGGGAAGAGATTGTTACCTCCAGAGCAACGCCTCCAGCCTGCCTGGTTCTCCCTGCTGGAGGAGACTGCCAACTGTAAGTGGGGTGAACGGCTCCGGCGGCTTGCAAATTTAACGTCCCTGCTCCCAGGCAGTCTTGCAGTGTAAGCATATGTGTAGGTATCTTTAGGGCTGTTCTGTGTATTTCTGTCAGCTGGTTGTAGGAACATGTACATTCCTGAAGAAATAAGATGAGAAATGGTATGAATGAGTTTGTACAAATACAGTCTATTTATCATTTCCAAGATAGCTTTAAAAACACTGTTACGTTAGGCTTTTATATACACTTACACATTGGTGAAGTCGTGTCGCTTTTCCTAATGTAGCTTAGGACTCCATTAAGAAAAACATCCAGTTGTATTTGATTACTGGGTAAAACAGTTTCCAGCCTCACTTGAGTAGGTTTCCTCTCTTGCTCTCTTGCTGGTATTCTTGGCATTGCGGTAGGAACTGTTTGTAGGGCTTTTTTTTTTTTTTTTTTCATACAGAAGGGCAGACCAGCTTTTTACGTTAGCCTGGCAAACTATGCTGTAGCTCAAATCTGGCTGGTCTGCGCTCTTGGCAACACGTTGTCCAATCCCCAACATACTTAGTTGACTAACAAGACACCGCATTAAAAAAATGCACTGTTTCACAGTACAAATGTCCATTTTCACATATCATTTTAGTCTGTTGTTAGCAGTTAGCCTGATTCAGCAAAATGCTCCATAGTCCCGCTTGGTGCCAACCAATGCCAGCGAGGCGACGGATTCGATGCAGTTGCTAGAGCGCTGATGGAGGATCGGGCCCTTCAGCACAGTGGGCGGTATTAAAGAGCCGTGCAGAAGGCTGAGCTGCTCAAACACCAAAGACACAGCCCAGAGCTTTCAACTCAGCATCCGGCCACTGTCCTTGTTCAGCCCTAACTGTGCCAGCGGAAAAGCCACTCTCCTCCACCCAGCTGGTCCAGGTGTTTTAGCCACCATGGGTGCCCTGGCCCATGTCATTAGGAGCTGCCAGGTGTGTGCCTGCTGAGCAGCAGCTTTAATCAACTTCAGCTCACTAAGCATTATGCCCCTGAAGCAGATGAGGGAGCACCCAATGGGGCAGCTTTGCCTGCAGAGCTTGGGAGTGCTGGTCCCTGCTGGGGATGGCGAGAAGTGGGTGAGCATAGGCAGGTTTCTGGGTGAGAAGCTTTGCCCCCGGAGCAGCCACGTGCCAGGCATATGCCCACGTGGTGTCTGGCATACAGGCCTCTCAGCAGCACTGCTGTTCTGCATCTGTGTGAGACCCAGCCGTGCGGGGATGATGATGCAGTGGGGCTTAATGTTCTTGTAATACCTTGTGTCCTGGTCTGGGCAGCAGAGCAGAAGCCAAGTCCTGCCATACTGGTCTCCTCCTTGCACGGGGAGACCTGCCCAGCAACAGGGAGGGCTGCGGGCAGGCCGTTCCCGAGCAGAGCTCTCTATCAGAGGTAGCTGCCAGGAAGGCAAGTGGGTGTCTTGCACCACCTCAGTGATGTGTTAAAGCAAAAAAGGGAAGAAGGAGGTCCAGTGTTCTCTGTACCACACTGGTTTGCTGTTTCTGCCTGGACCAAAGCTCCTGGGAACAGATCCCAGGTCCCAAGTGAAATCACGTCGGGGTGGAATGAGAAGCTGGGAAGGAGAAGGGAACAAAAGGTTAGCAAGGGAAAGGCATCAGGGGCATCTGCTTTCACCCTCATTGACCTGTTTGAGAGATTTAACAGCGTCACTGTACTTGGGACTGTGAAAGACTCTGCTTTGCTAGCTGCGATGTACTACGTGCGGGGGGATCCAATGACTTGCTGCAGGCTTTGAAAAAGAAAGAAAGAAATTACTTGTAATGTGCTGGGCCAGTCTGCCTCAGTGCAAGACTGAGCGAGCAAGGTTTTCTGAGTTTCATTAGAAGCTAAGCTGAGACAAGGAGTCAATGACAGGACAACTTCAGATCCACAGCAAGTAAGATCTTGCCGTAAATCAGCCTATGGCACAAAGCTGTTCCTCAGCACTGTTCAGCTCCCTGTTGCTCATTCCTTCATTAAAACCACATGGGGTTTCTTCATTATGAATGTCAATGTTCCGAATTTTTACAATGTTGAAGTGTTGCATGTGGGGTCTGTTGGTGATTTACTGTTATCAAAATACAGAATGTTCCTGGTCCTTCAGTTAAACCAAGAGAGCAGAGAAATTGCACGCCTTGGTATCAAGCAGGCTCATTAAGCAGAAGCAGTCCCTGTGTAAGCATCCGGTGCTCAGCTCAAATTTGCCAAGGCATTTTGACAAGGGTGGCTAGGCAGCCTGCCAGTTCACACAAACACCTCACGGTTTTTGTTTCCAAGAGCGTAGAGGTGAGAGAGGGAGAGTGCACACAAGGAAGTGCGAGTCTCTGCAAAGCTATGACTTACCCCATGCAGCCTTCAAGTGATGGAGGGGGGAGTCCAGCCTCGCTTGTATTGTCATATGCCGCAGTGAATGATCATTCTATCAGTTGCCGCCAGCTGACTGTGGGAATCCTGCAAGTGGTAGTAATGGTCATGTTGGGAGGTGCCCTTCACTGTTTGAGGAACAGGCTGTTGTCCTTGTTGTGTGGCAAACAGCATCCCCGTGTCTGCCCTCTTACCCTTGACGCATCACTCTCTTGACTTCCACATAGCTGTTACCGCCTACTCGTGTTCTTATAGGGTTTTGGCACATGCAACTATCGATTATTTAGGTAATTATTTCAAGCAAATGTGGCTGATTTTCTTTTCCCTATGCATTTTAGTTGTTTTTATTTTAAATTTTAGGTCTCCTCCAACCTTTTTCCATTCCTGCAGTCAGTTATTTCAACTTATATTTAACTTGCACTTGAATGCCATAGCATTAAAGAATCAGGTGCTGATGGGAAAGTCGTTAGGTTTTCATCTGGGGTCCAGCTATGGGGCATCTTTGTGTTCTGAGAATTATTAAAAGCACAAGAAAAAAACCATGGAAAAAAAAAGGAAAGGTGAAAGCTTTTCTTCTCACCATTAGAAGGCAAGACTGGTGTTTGGTTAAACTGGCCTGCATATGTTCAGGGCAGGATTTCCCAGCGAGTTTTGCTCTTAGTTGTGACCATTGTGAGAAGCATCTCTAGAAATTCCTCCGGCAGCATGTTCCACTGCTCAGCAGCAGCCATGGGGAAGGGGAAGGGTTGCAGCACCTCCAAGGC